TGCACAGAAGGCAGAGGAGAGGAGAGCAGTGGAAATCTATGGGCTGGTCCTTGGGACAGAAGAGCCACCACTGCTAGCAAAGTCCCACCCTAGTTCTGTGGATGCACAGAAGGCAGAGGAGAGGAGAGCAGTGGAAATCTATGGGCTGGTCCTTGGGACGGAAGAGCCACCGCTGCTAGCGAAGCCCCACCCTAGCTCTGGGGATCAAAGGCAGGGGATGTGGCTGATGAGGAAAAGGAGGAACAGCTGGGTCCAATATCTGACCCATGGATGCACAGAAGACAGAGGAGAGGAGAGCAGTGGAAATCTATGGGCTGGTCCTTGGGACGGAAGAGCCACCGCTGCTAGCGAAGTCCCATCCTAGCTCTGGGGATAAAAAGCAGGAGACCGAGATGAATAGGCGTGGCAAATAACTATTCATCTTCCGACCGGTGGGACTTGTTAGCCCGCGGAGAGGGAGAAACTTTTGGCCCGGGCGGCTGGCGCTCCAAAATAAGGAATCTCTTGAATTCATTTCAGAGGGTTGGCTGTGTTTGGGGAGCTGGGTCAGAACCGACGTTCTCCGAAGGGTTTGTCAGAAGCTTGAATTCTCTTCATCTCGGTTCTACCATCCTTCACATTTCCGGGGGAGCGAAGTCACAAGCGTGGCCGTCGACACAACCCCCCATCTTCGGGGGAGGGAGGGGGAAAACGGCGGCTTGAGATATCTGCTCCAAAGAGGGGCTCAAGTGGCAAGGAGGAGGGGAGGGGGGGAGGTGTTGTGTTTTCCCTTTGAATATAGAAAAAAGCAATTTATGATAAAATATAGATTTCGAGGAAGGAAACGGGACCTATTTTTATTTTTTTATTAAATAAGCCCTACGCCGTTTGGGGCAATTCGGAAATCTTTGCAACGGGATGTGCGTAGTAGATATGTTTGCACGCCCACCAAGTGTGCAAAAGTGCAACGAAATGGCCACCCGCCATTCTTCCCTCGAGGGCCGGAGAGGAGAGAATTATGTCTTCCAACCTTACAGGCCACACGCGAGAGAAAGAGAGAGAGAGAGAGTTATAATTTTTTGGAATATTAATATTTCTTTTTTAAACCAAGACAATGTAAACTTTGGATTCTTTTAAGGCAGCCAGCTCTGAAGCCGGGCGGGGCCCCCATTTAGAAACAAATAGGGTGACTCGTTTTGAAAAAAAAAGGGGGGGAGGGAGAAATTAAATCAAAATGGCATTATTGGATTCGGGCGAGGTCGAAGGACGTTCTTCTCCTTTTTGTCACAAGACAGGCGGAATTGCCGGTCTGTTTAGAAAAACAACGCCCCCACGCCTCCGACTTCCGCCTGTTCTTTGACAAAGATCTCAAAATATTGGTAAATGATCGTGACCGCCAGCAGAATCCCGGTGCCGGAGCCGATGGCCCCCAGGAAGTCAGCCAGGACCGAGAGCGCCCCGATACACAACCCTCCGAAGGCCGCTGCTGTCGGGATGTACCTAAAGGGAAAAAAGAGGAAGAAAATTCCTTTTTAATGGAGATCTGCTCCGTTTTGTGGCGCTTGGAATTCCCGAACCTTCTGTTTAAGCAGGGAGAGAAAGATCCAGCTTAGAAGGTGGAGGTGTGACGGGACGCAGGTGGCGTTGCCACCACATGTGCCTGAAAGTCACCAAACCAGGTAATGTCATCAGTGCTAGAAGGGGGTGGGGTTTGCAGGGAGGAAGAGGAGGAGAAAGACGACTGTGGGGTTCTTGGTGCTCTCTGAATGTGGTAGTTTTCTGTTGTGGCCCAGCAGGAGCCGTTGGAGCTGCCCCCAGACTCCGAGGGGCCCTATGAGTCGGCTCTGGAGGATGTGGAGGACCCTGGACAGGGTTCCGACTCCGAGCAGGGCGCAGAGAGGCTGGTTGGCCACCAGGAGGCGCCTAAGCCTTGGACCAATGGGGAGGAGACAAGGGAGTGTGATTTGATTTTTTTTTTATTTGATTTTATTGACATTTGTAGGCCGCCCTTTTCCCTGA